CTTACTTTAACTAAATTTAACATAAACAGCAGTAGTTGTCCTTTTCTAGATTTGGACATTTCAATCTCTAAAAGAAAACTTCATACTAAAATTTACGACAAAAGAGACGACTTTTCATTCCCTATTGTTCATTTTCCTTTTCAAGACGGCGATGTTCCTTTGGCTCCATCATACGGTGTTTATATATCCCAACTCGTTCGTTATGCCCGTGTGTGTAGTGATGTCATAGATTTTAACGAATGTAATCAATGCATTACTGGTAAATTATTAAGTCAGGGATTTCGTTACCATAAATTACGTAAAACGTTTACTAAATTCTTTCATAGATACAAAGATTTGATTAGTTAATTTGGCTGTACCTGTAGAAAACTGATTAAAACGGTATTTCACATCCTAAATTTTACGATAATATTGTACTTAAAGCGCGGAAATCACTATATGATCCGTGTAAACTTAGTGAACCTTTAAACAAACTTATTAGTAAAGGTTATCTTACCAATGTTGTAATTAGACATTTGAATATAGTTTACATTGGCACAAATATCGATTTTGTCACCAGCAATTTAAAACATAACTAAATTTGTATTCGTTTCAAACGGGGTGTATAAAGACACACCAACGTTCATTTTGATCTATAAAGAGGTTAACTCCTAACTAGCCTACTGCCTGTCGATACATTTATTTTTGGCATTGCACAAGTCATGTCTTCTTTGACTGCCCATGACGTTAAAATACGAAATCCCTGGGATGTGTTTTAGTTGATTTTAGTCTCTGATGCATGATTTTTTATTATTAATTGTTTTTGGCTTTTAACTAGCTGTCAGTAACTGCGAGTACTCTCAAATCGTACTTTCTTGTTTATGACCTGTTGATTCTAATTGTAATGCTTTTTTGTTATTTAATGTTATTCAGGGTTATATCTGGTCTATATACCAGCTTTGATAAGTGTTTGGTATTACCTTAAATTTTCACTACTTCGTACTTTGAACATCACAATTATTTATTTTGTAAAAATATTTCCTTACTCTATCTGAAATGTACACGTATATCTAACAACAAAATTATTTTTATTTACCTGTGTTTAAAGTAATTGCAAATGGCTGATATTTTTGTTCAAGTATATTGTTTTTCTTAAATTGTTTGACATTTCACAGCGGTATAACATGTTACTATAATTATTCTTCCCTTAGTTTATTTTGTATTTGTATTGTATCATATATAGATCAAATTTATTTGTTCAGTGTATGTTCACCGGTGTTAATACGTCTTTTGATTGAGTTAAGTCATTTTAATTGACATTTTATAGTGTGTTTTTCTATGTTGTGATGTTACACTATTGTTTCAGATAAGGGTGAAGGTTTGGTACCATTAAAACGTTGAAACCCGCTGCAATTGTTTGCACCTGTCCCAAGTCAGGAATCTGATGTTCATTAGTTGTCGTTTGTTGATGTGGTTCATAAGTGTTTCTCGTTTCTCGTTTTTTATATAGATTAGACCGTTGGTTTTCCCGTTTGAATGGTTTTACACTAGTAATTTTTGGGGCCCTTTATAGCTTGCTGTTCGGTGTGAGCCAAGGCTCCGTGTTGAAGACCGTACTTTGACCTATAATGGTTTACCTTTATAAATTTTGACTTGGATGGAGGGTTGTCTCATTGGCACTCATACCATATCTTCTTAAATCTATCATCTAAAATAATTGGTTAAGACCTATAACATATGTATATTATTGTCATACATGAATGCATGAAAAGTTACATATTACATATCATATTACAAACTATTTGCGATGTTTAGATACTCTGATATGATAAGAAAGTGGAAAACAGTTTACCGATAGAGATATTTTGTCATCAATATCAATTTTACGCTGGTGTCACCAAAGCATATCCTGTTCCGTATGTGGTACCTGTCGTGGTGCTCATGGAAAGTACGATTTCGGTGATACATGTAAGTCTCATTCGGGAATGTCAAAATCGAGGAAAACAGGACGGTATAGTGATTACGACAATTTGAATATGTCCGTGGTCATCTGTGACACAAATATTACATAACTGTCAACCGAATCATGGTGTCGTTCATAAAAAAGACATGACTTCAACTTAACCCCTATGAACCCTTGGTTTAAAAACTTCCTTGTATGCAGCAATCCTCTATCAAGGAAATCATGATGGGAAACACAAGCCTTGGCATATCGTATTAACTTGGAGATATAAACCCCATATGCACGCGCTGCCTGAATGTTGCTACATATAAATGGAAAGTTCACTCTTGGAAAGCTTAAATCATCTACCTTAAACATAGCTTAAATTTATTCTATTTTCTAATATATCTCGTTTTGAGGCAAATCCATTACATTGCAGTAAAGATGTTGTTCATCTTTCTCTTCTTAGAATATAAACATGTCGTCCCCTTCTAATCATCAATGAAGATGCACTTTTTGGTATTGGTAATTTGTATATTGCTGCTTTATTATATAACTTGTTTAACAAATTAACATATAACATCCTTTATCCCATTGTGTACTACCTGAAAGAAACTATGTTTGGTAGATTTCTATATGTATAAATTCTGTGTTTTATTTACTGTAATAGGGGTAAACTGGGTAGGGAGAAAATGACAGATATTTCAAGTTCATTTTTTCCAATAACGAATACAAATTTGTCAACCAAAACTTTTGCTATAATTTAAAAAAAAACATGTCGTTCTGTATTGGTATAGTTTTTGGATCTTTCATTTGCGAATTGAAGGCAATAGAAAGTTTGGGCTTCAAAAGTCTACATAATTATTGACTTTATACAGAATTTTCGCCCTTTTAAAACATTTACAAAGTAAAATCTTTCTTAAGACACTGCAAAAAATTTCATTCTGATTGGTTTCGTTGTATTGTCATAAAGTGCGTTCAAATGAACCGTGGTATAGCAAACATCGAATCTTTCATAAAATGTTATCACACACTATAGTGACAAATGTTTCATGTATATTCAGGACGAGTGGAAATTGAAAATCATTAGTTATTGTACATGACGTTTAAAGAATGTCACGTTTTGGGAACCTCATAGAAAAGTTAAATATTTCCATATAAAGTTCCAATTGAAATTCTGCATAAACAATTGTGTCATAGTTTACTCGTCATATTTTACTCAGCTGTTGTTATGTCCTATATTAAATATTATTTAAATACGCAGAATATCTATAAATAGAAATACACTGCTATCCTTTTCTATTGAAGTAAACATCGTCACATGTCATCTGTTTACGTCTTCACTTTTGTTTTGAAGATCCCATATAAAACTACATAACTTTAATTTTTTCATCAGATATTCGATAGGTAGACAACCGAATATAGGGTAAGTACACAAGACAGTAATTGATAGGCATTTCAGCCCCCAGATTTCTTCATATATTTTTGACAAAATATTTTTTTATTCTGTATTCTGTATATATGTATTCCAAAAAATTCGACTAAGTACATTAGATTTATTTATGTTTCCTTATCGTCCCGAATCTTCATGAAAATATGCCATTGAATGTTAAGCAAAAAGTAAGACCTAAATATATCCGATTTCTTTGTATTTACAGTCTAGTTGAAAAATTCTAATTTCTATTATAAAGGGCACATTTCAGAAACCACCAACATGAAACGTCAAATTCGAACTCGAGCTTCGTTAAGTTGTCCAAGTCTTGCAACTGCAATTCTAATTGACAAGAAAGATCTAACTCTTTTATTCGGCACTGTTAACTTGAAAACAATCGAACTTTCCATGACATAAGTCTATCTTCCGCATTATTACAGAAAACATAAGTGAAATTTAGACCTAAATATATTTTTTATATAATTTTGATTAAATATAGGAATAACAAAACATGTAAAATGTATTAAATCCATGTTATTTGGACTCCGTTAGATAGTTGTCTTATTGGCAATCACACCACGCCTCCTTTTCTTATTTTAAGGGATTTAAAACGTTTGTTTAAATATCTAATGATTTACTTTAAGGAAAAAGTACTATAGTAAAATACCGAACTCCAAGGAAAATTCAAAACGGAAAGTCTTTTATCAAATGGCAATATCAAAAGCGCAAACACATCAAACATGAAGACATTATACGGAAACCTTAAATTTGGCTATTTTGTACAATATCGAGAGTCATTTTACTTTGTTAAATTCTAACCTGACCGTCTTATTTAAGAATTCATAACATTGTGGTTAATAAAGAAAGATTTCGTTAAATTATGCTCAAAAGGTCATTCTACCTAGAAAGTATTTTGATTTGTTGCGTGCTAAGGGTGAAGCAACAAATACAAATATTAATGTCTTTGGTTAAACCGGCCGAAGATTTTAACCCAAGACCTGCCTGCCACTAGCACTAGACCATCAATAGTGTTGCGATTATCCATATTATTATAATGGCATCAATCTGAGGTGACAAGTTGCAAACCATGAAATGTGTTGAATCCGAACTAGACATATGTTTCCTTTAATTGTGATAACTCTTAAAATAATGTCATAATAAAGCTCACTCAAATTGTTTAGAAAACTCATCAAAGATCCCAGGCTTATAATTTTTCATACCAGATGCGTGTTTCTTCTACGATAAGATACTGAGGCTAGAATAAAAACAGTTTGAAGATCAAATCAAATACGAAGTTGAAGAGCAATGAAACCGAAAATTCCGAAAAATTGTGCCAAATGGCAATCTATGCCTTAGGGAAAAAAACCTTAGTGTTTCGAATAATTCAACATTTCATAAATAATTCATTTACAGAAAATGAACATCTGATGTTCAGTAGATGTTGTTTGTTGATGTGGTTCATAAGTGTTTCTCGTTTCTCGTTTTTTATATAGATTAGACCGTTGGTTTTCCCGTTTGAATGGTTTTACACTAGTAATATTTGGGGCCCTTTATAGCTTGCTGTTCGGTGTGAGCCAAGGCTCCGTGTTGAAGATCATACATTGACCTATAATAGATTACCTTTATAAATTTTGACTTGGATGGAGAGTTGTCTCATTGGCACTCATACCACATCTCCTTATATCTATATCAATGATATTTCATGTCAACACAAAAGTACTGACTATTTGGCTTGTGATATTCTCGTGGAAAAAACGTCCACCAGCAGAGGCATCGACCCAGTGGTTGTAAAAACTCAGCAAAGATATAAGGCTTATAATTTGTTGCGTCAGACGTGCGTTTCGTCTACATAAGACTCTCAAGTGCCGCTAGAACCAAAACAGAGTGGTGCCTAAATCAATACGAAGTAGAGGAGCAATTAAGCCGGAAATTCATAAAAAATTTTCCAAACGGGGCTAAGGCAATCTATGCCTTGTGAAAGAAAAAAAACTTAGTGTATCGAATGATTTAATATTTAGTAAACAGTAAATTTAAAGAAAATGAACATATCAATGATATTTCATATCAACATTAAAGTACTGACTACTTGGCTGTTGATACTTTCGGGGACGAAACGTCCACCAGCAGTGGCATCGACCCAGTGGTTGTAAAAACTCATCAAAATCGTATAATTTGTTACACCAGACAGCCACTACCGATCATAGATTGCATGTAAATGATCCGTATAGGGATAGTTTAGTCGAGTTTTGTACTTTTTTTATGTTAAATAACCATTACAACATACCTGTGATGTCTGCAGTTAAAGATGTATAACTGGAAACAATAAACCTTTTCTATTCAGAGACAGCCATTTATACGCCCTCCATCATTGTGAGTTCTTTAACCTTTTCAGTACCATACTTCCTTTCCGGTAAACATCGTATTATTATAGAGGTCTGTCCAGGATTTCCCGTGTTTGAATTAAACATTTTTCTTATCGATAATGACCAGGTGAGCGATAATTCGTTTTTTCCCCTTCCGTTCAGGAATATTGCTATTGTATTCTGTCCTTCAAGTGAACCGACGTTTTTGTTTAATCGCAAGTTTATGATTTTATTGTAAAAAGTAAAATCACAGTAATACTGAACTCCGAGAAAAATTCAAAAAGGAAAGTCCCTATTCAAATAAATTGTTGTAAGCGATGACGTGAATGTTTTGTTAAATAAAGGCAACAGTAGTATACCGCTATTCGAAATTCATAAATCGATTGAGAAAAAAAAAAACAAATCCGGGTTGCAAACTAAAACTGAGGGAAACACATCAAATATAAGAGAAGAACAACGACAAAACAGAAACACAACACTAAAATGCAACACACACAGAAACGAACTATATTATAACAATGGCCATTTTCCTGACTTGGTACAGGACATTTTAAGAAAAAATGGTGGGTTGAACCTGGTTTTGTGGCTAGCCAAACCTCCCGCTTTTATGGCAATGTTAAATATAACATTAAAATGACAAGATTACATGACAGGACTACAATACAAATAAATGGGAAAACATACAGGACAGAGACACACGCAAAATAATAGCTACCAAAAGGTACCTGGCTTATAATTTAATACGCCAGACGCTCGTTTTGTCTACATAAGACCAATCAGTGACGCTCAGATCAAAAAAGTTCGAAAGCCAAAACAAGTACAAAGTTGAAGAGAATTGAGGAACAAAAGTTCCAAAAAGTTGTGCCAAATACGGCTAAGGTTATATGCCAGGGATAAGAAAATCCTTAGTATTTAGAATAATTCATACTTTTGCAAACAGTAAATTTATAAAAATGACTATATAATAGATATACATGTTAACACCGAAGTGGTGACTAACTACAGAATAAAAACGAATACGTAAAACAACCTAAATCAGCACATAAAAAAGGCACAGCCGAACAACATATTATATGTTAGCCGAAGAGATCGACGCACAATGTGACGTCACATATAAATTTCTATAAATTTCCAAAAAATAGGATATTGTAAGACAAATTGATAAAAGTTGCAAAACACTATATTTTGCTATTGAAAGACATACGTAAATGAAAGTTTAGAAAAAAAATAAAATTGAGAAAACCTATTCATTGGAAATGAAAGACCTTTTTAGTAAGATAGCGATTTCCTAATATTTTGTGTACGTAAGAATTAGACAAATTTTCTTTTTAATTTGACCAAGATTTTTTTGGCTAATTTCATTATTTTATTTGTTTCTTAAGACAAAGATTTGATTTGTTTTACATTAGTCATTTCAGGGCCTTTTATAGCTGACTATGCGGTATGGGTTTTACTCATTATTGAAGGCCGTACGATGACCTATAATTGTTAATTTCTGTGTCATTTGGTCCCTTGTGGAGAGTTGTCTCATTGGCATTCATACCACATCTTCTTATTTCTATATAATATATTTTCGTACCCTAGGTATACCACAAATCACGCCCTATCGAAAAATATCAAGTCATCGTATCATACACGCATAGTTATTGCGAAGTACAAAGATAACAGACTTTTCGTTCAAGGCCTTAATGATGTTAATTAAATAAAATAGCAGTAAATATAAATTGCTCTAATGTATTTAAACTAGGACAAATATGATTTTTTCTTATATTTTCACTTTTTTCAATATATATAAATTTCCTCCCTCAGATTTTTTTGGACTTGTTTCATAATATGTTTTACATAATTATGCTGATGAATAAGAATGAGTTCCTACAATTCAAAACAACCATAAAAATAGTTTACATAGCATGAAATAGCAAGTTTCAGATCATAATATCTCCCTTAAAATTATTTTTAAAGTTTGAAAACGAAGACTACTAAAGTTAAATATAAACGCGTATCGTCACTTGTTCTGGTTTCAACTAGTTTTGTGGGTCAGACTGATTATATATAAATGCGTACTTGTCCGCTGTTAGAACACTATTCTCAAAGACATCGCTGCACTGGTAAGGATGGGTAATTATATCTCTTTAATGATTTTGAATAAAGCATTTGTATTTAAATGTATTTTTTTTACTTCATAAAATGTTATGTTTAAAGTCTAAATTTTATCTTTTTAAAGGGTTAGATACGATCTCTATCATTTGTTCTAAATGTGGCTAATCAATTTTTCTTTGAAAATGATATTTGCTTATTATTGCTATATGTTTATGATACACTTCTATTTAATTTTTTTTTCATACATCGTTTTTTTAAGCCAAAATATATTGAATACAATTTGGTTTTATTTTAAAAAAAAATTACGGGCAAAGCAAATTGATTTGTTTCTTTTGGTTTAAATTAATATTTATGTTCAGGTTACTGATGTAATAATTTTTTTCACATACAATCACAAAAAGACCTGATTTTATGTTCTAGTTTAAAAACAGATTAATTAAAGAAATGTCATAATCAGAACATGATAACAAGTATCAATATAAAAATATGGTGTCCGAAAGATCTCCAAATAACCGGAAAGTGCTTGTATCAAGTCAAGAATATGACAGTTGTTTACCGTTTGTTGATAACGTTGGATTAGGCAGTTTTTATGGACTTCCTATTTTTGAATTTACCTTGGAGTTCGGTTTTTTGGTTAATCTCTTTTATGCTTACACACTATTTATCCCATTTGTGTTCATAATGTATTTGCTTTTGAATATTTTGTTCCAAAATATGTTTGACAATATTAGACACGGAGAATTACAGAAAATTCATGGAATGTGTATTTCCAATGCACAGAAAACCGCATTCAATTATTCAAATTATTCATTGATGAAAGTAACTGTCAAATTCAATAAATTTTGTTTTGAACACCACTAAGAATTTTTTAGCAGAGTTTTAGCCATGTTACAGTATCACTTAATATGCAATCCGCTTATATCATAATCATGAATACCACAGCTAATATTTATGTATTAATCAATATATTTAGCTGGCGCAAACATGGATCGTAATATATTGCGTCCATATTTCAAACTTCTACTTTCTATAATTAATGTATTATTGTAGTATGCAGATGCAAAACTGCTGCTACTCGAATAATGTTTTTCTATTTAATTTTATTGACAACTTTAGGAAGAAAGTTTTTTTACATCTTTTATTATTTACGAGACAATAGTTTTCCTTTTTGTATTAATTTTGCATTTGAGTGCATGAAAGGATAGTCTAAAATAAGTTATAATGAGATGGGAGATGCATTTAAAGTGAATATTGCTTTTTTTTATACTGCAATGGTTCTATTTGAGCAGTAAAAATGTGTTGACTGTATATGATATCGAGGATACATGAATTCGTACCAATCTTCCCACATATAGTAATGCATGTCATGTGTGAGGAAACAAATATCGTTTCAATTTCACTTACATTTGGCTTTGCGGAATGTACAAATATGTAGACACGTCCGTTCAGAATGAGAGCAACCCGATAGCTCGTGCAGAGATAGTGCCAGGATGTTTGAATGTTAGGAACACTTGCAACAGCTCTTATAGGCGTGCTTTAATTTCCTGTTGCAAGACATTTTTTGTCGTATCTAAATACTCTCTGTTTCTATTGGCAGTCTTAATTTGTCGCCCTTCACTGCAGTCGACCAACTTGAGGAACCTACCTACTGAATTTATTGTCTAATTGCTTTCTAACTAGGCACGGAAAAATTGACAATGGTCGTTAAGTAAAATACAATCAATCAATAAAAAAAAAAAATCTCCAAACTAATGTCCCGTTCTCATTTCACAGTATTTGATTGTAGCAAAGTCAAGCATATAACTGAAATCAGAAAGCGACAAATTTCCGCTACGATTTTATATTGAAAAGAACATTGTTTTGGGTTGTAACGATCAATTTCTGATTTGGGTAATTGAGTAAGCAGACTTCGTTTGAAATGTCAAAATTCCAACATAACTGAATTGAATGGGGATGGACAGTCGTTAAAATAAGAGCAAACATGCGCATATACGTGATCCTTTCAAATAAAAAAAAACCATGAACATGCTGTTGCCATGTTAGCTAATTGTTAAAATATATTTTGAGAAAAATATATCTGCATTCTTTTACAATGTTTACAATCAATGTCTTTTTTCTTGCGTTTTTATTACCTGAGTTAAATTCAATTGTAATTCTGCGCTTGAATATATTATCATCAACCAGTTATATTCTGAACTACCAGTTTACTTTTAAAGAAAAATAGTTACAGGACTTTATTGAAAAAGATAAATTTGATTGTTCATTTATTTTATTTTTGAGTGATGAATGGAAACATTCAAGAAAACAGAATCTGAGTAACAATTATTTTTTTATCAATCAAGATATTTTATGTCACATTTCTCTATCAAAGATATACATTTCCCATCTTTTCACATCTGAATGTAAAAATGGTTTGTTCCAAACCTGCATTGAAACGAAGAATAACTAAGTGCATTCAATTTCCCCTGCAACGCATTACACAATCCACCATATACCAGTTTAGCAGGCAGAAACTTGTTGTTTCGTCACTATATCAAGGTAATGATGTTTTTTTTACACCGTAACAACTTTAATAGGGCAGCAGCAGTAGTTCTAGTGTACTATTTTTCGGACTTCCTTTCATCATAGACTTTTGTAGCACTAGATACCCCACATGAAAGTCGTTGCCATAGAATCTATATTTTCTTTCAGATATTCTGGAAAACAACATGGAAGCCTTGAAAGTAAATGACACATTATTCAAAGGAAACCATTCAACGGAAGATCTATTGAAATACTACAATAATTGGGCCCAGACAGGAAAATATGACGAGGTGAGGCACATATGATGACGTTAACGCTTTCCATAGTATTTTTATATAAAATTATAAAATAATATTTGGTGTACCATTTACTCATATAACTTTGAAAGTGATGTCAAATAATGACACATTAGGAAATCACATAAACTATAGTTACTCGTTAAATAATTTTTAGTCTTGCAAAACATGATCAATTTATTAGTTGTAATTGGCTTCGAACTAGCTTTCTGTAACTGAAAGTACTCTTAGATCGGTAATTTGTTTTTTTTAGTCTTTTTGTTAGATTTTTTGTACTTCATGCCTGTCTTAAGATTGAGTCAAACTGTTTTTTTTAATTATTTTTTTTCACTTTGTTCTTATGTTGTACTGTTACACCATGTTGTTTGCCAATTATATTGCATGCAGTTGTTTTTGTTTTCTCCCTATTAGATCAAACTGTTTTAATGTTGTGCTGTTACACCACTGTTCCAGGTTAGGGTACTGCCCGTGGTCTGGAGCCTGTTATTCAGTGGTTGTCGTTAGTTGTCGCTCGTCATGTATAGTTGACTATACGATATGAGTTTTGCTCATTGTTGATGTCCGTATGATGCCCTATAGTTAGTTACATACACACGTAATAAAAACTCTGGTAGATAGTTGTTTTTGTTTGTAATTATATCACATCTCCTTATCTTTATATGTTAATTGCATATTGAAAATTTTAAGAATTTGTGTCTATTACTCGAACACAGATTTTATATCAATCAATTTTCACAGTAACATATACATATTTGTTGACAACGCGTGATCAATCTGAAATCTGTCTTTGTAACATGCCACTGCTAGTCTATATAGGTTATCTCTTACAGGTATTTACTAATGTATACTATTGGCGTTGTTTTGGTCGGCAAGGAGAAGTTTAAGTTAAAAGATAGGATACTACGCCTTATATTTTGAACTTGTTTATCTGACCTGTATTCAAACAGTTGTGTATATAGTCAACATTATATCGCACTGCCTAATAGTCGTACACGAGAGAAAGGATGTGTTTAATGTTCAGCACTTTGTAATCATAAAATAAGTAAATGTTGTGTTATGCCAGACCAAAAGGGTATGATAGTATAAAATACTACTAATAGCATTTATAATAAATGCACTAACAGTTTCCTCTATAAAATTTAAATTAAAACGAATAGTTATTATAAATAGCTTAAAATCAAATTAGGTAGAAAATATTGACTACTGGTTATTGATGTAATAAATTTGCTAGAATAATTATTTTGCACTCTATACTATCATCCTTATTTCCATTTCCGGTCTCTTACTTTCGGAACATTTCAGCTTTTTATCTTGGTCACAAGTATATGTTGGAAATGGTATCGAATAAGTCCAAGGAGTTCCGAGTGCATAATCTTACACAACCTGTTCAGAACGCACAAATGAGATAAAAAGGACTGTACAATAGTTGATCATTGGTTTTATAGTCTCTCGTTATCAGCTGACACTTACGTCACATACAGTGATAGTGTAAAAATAAATAGGAAACCCCATTTAATTTAGAAGTGATCTATTTAGGTATAATCTTACTATAGAAATTAAAATTTACCTTACCATTTAAATAGATTGTTGGAGCAATCTATATTGGAATGTTTTCAACGTACGATTTAGCCCTGATAAATCAAACAATAATTAATATGGCAATAATTTGGAATTATAATAATACTTGATGGTAATACCAAACTAATTAAACGTGCTGAAATGTACTGAAAATCTAACTGAGTTACAGTAAAAATATCATGATTCATGGCTTATACCATGGCTTATACCTTGGTTACAGTAGAAATACCATGATTCATGGCTTATACCCTGGGTAATATTAACATAATTTAAGCTGGGATCCTGGCTCACTACTACCGACGCAAAGTAAAGATTGGACAAGGATCCAAGGCTATATCTAACTAGAATAGTATCGAAAACAATAAAAATGTAAGGCCCATATCGGAAATTCTGAGAACTATATACGCATATCATGCTGATCTTTTTTGCGAAAGGATGAAATAAATCAGATTGTAATTAGTCATTATTTACATAGATTAGTATCAGTTATCACACTTTCTATCCATGCAACTTGTTTGGCACAAAGGCCAATATATATCACTATTAAAATACAATCTAGAGCAAAGTGATTTTCATAGAACCTGTCATACGACGATCAAATTGATAAAAGAGGGGCGAAAGATACCAGAAGGACATTCAAACTGATAAGTCGACAATAAACTGACAACGCCATGGCTAAAAAAGAAAAAAAACCAACAGACAAACAATAGTACACAAAACACAACATAAAAAACTAAAGACTGAGCAACACGAAACCCACAATGGAATACAAACCCTGGAATAACGTGTCCACTGGGAGATATATACTTAAATATAATTATTGTTCAATCAATTTCAGTATACTGGAGCAGGGGTTATGTCACACTTTGGAGTTGTTGAATGTTCCACATTGTATTTCACATGAATATCTAAATAAATGGGATTTTATGTTTTTAAATATTGTGTTTTTTTTTATTATCGGTATCTTAACCGTTTCCATGTTTTCATACTCTATATTTGTGATTAAGTTTAATTTATATAATTTCCCAAATGTCTTTGACTTAATTTTATGTTTCAAACAATAAACTTCACAAAATATAAAAATCCTTTATATTTTGGCTATTTGCAGCACCTATCAACAGACAACGGATACAAAGGACCTCATATAGCGGCTCAAGCTGCTGCAGGAGTTTTTGAGCCAAATCGTCGACCTACAGTACAAATATTAGATGTAGCAGCGGGGACTGGAAAAGTGTCTCAAGAGGTAAGGATGTGGTATAAACCAACAACAATATTAAAAAGTCAACGCAAAATTACACATATTTCACAAAAAGTTCGAATTGATACTCTTACTGCAGATTTACATTTACTGTTATTAATCTTAGATTGTGTCAAAGCTTCATAAAGACCCAACAAAACACTACTTGATAGATATCTTTAACAATACAAGCAGTCAATTAGATGATATTTTTTCTGTCAACAATTGAGATTTTTCTGAGTATACAAATGAAATTAATTCACCTGAACCCATTCTTACTAAATCCGACATCCGCTGCATTGAAGACCCATTGGTGGCCTTCGGCTGTTGTCTGCTCTTTGGTCGGGTTGTTGTCTCTTTGACATATTCCCAATTTCCATTCTCAATTTTATATATAGTGGCCAATGTACTTTTTAGAACTTGATATCAGAATTTCCCATGGTAATATCCATACTAAAATATATGACAAATAAGACTAATTTTCCTTTCATTGATGGTGATGTTTCGTAAGCACTTTCAAATGGCATATTAAACTCACAGTTTGTAGCACATGTTTGCATTGAAGTTTATTATTTCGATGAACTTATTATTTCCATTACTAAGAAACTTTTACAGCAGGAAAACAATAGATAAATTGCTCAAAAATTTTACTAAATTTTATTACAAAACAGATGTTTATTTTTGAAATAGATCAGATGAACTAAAAATTAAGTCTTTATATCGGCCTCCAGCGAACAATTAACGAAGCTTGTAAATTAGTTGATACATCCCTAGAAACGGTATTTCTCAGATCGGGTAAATTCTAAATTTCTAAACTAAACAAATTTGAAATATAGCTTGCTAAATTGAGTACACAAAATTGTTACATTAATCAGATCTAACATTCTACATTAGCTTCGCCAATTGGGGTTTACTAATATTGATGATTACATTGATTTGATCTTACGTTCTATTTTAGCTCCGCCAACTGGGGTTTACTAATATTGATGCATTAGATCCGTCTGGTTCAATGTTGGCTCAGGCAAGGAAAAAGAATCTTTACAATAATTATATATGCGATTTCCTAAGTGAATATACAATGCCAGCTCGAAATGGTAAGTATCATGGACTATGCTTTGACTAAGGTTATAACTGCCTTAATATAGAGATTTGACGAATAATTGGCTAAAAAAATCTTAAAGTTAACAAAAACAGAATATAAAATTTCTGCAGACAAAATTAACTTCAGATGCTATGATTGTCCTCATTTTAAGATCCCCTAATATTAATACAGTAACTTTAATTGTTAATTTTTATAATTGATTGCTTTGGTTTTCGAACAAAACATTCTGCTTCATGAAAAAAACAAATAAGGGAAAACTAAAGGATGTTTCTGGAAAACCCTTCATATTCGTTCGTAACCAAAGGTTAAAAAGCCAAAATAACAAAAGTATTAAAGAATAAAAACCAAAAGAACTTAAAATGGACAGCAAAAACCGTCTAAGGTAAACTTTCCAGAGAATCCTACATACAACAGAATTACACAAATATATGAACTTGAAATTTACAAACAAATGTATTACTAGTATTTATTTCAATATCAAATATAAAAACGTAAGTTAGAATATCAGATGTCCATTTCCAAACAGACGACCATAGGAGTAAACATAGTCGGATTCGAATGACTCAGTATGAAGTGGTAACAAGGTAATAACTTCTGCTATGCAGGTATAATTTGTTTCAAGGATGAAATCACGAATCAGGTATCGCGACTGTAGGAAAATTAGGGAACGCCGATGGTGATTAAATATGAAAAATATTGGCGATTATTACATATCTTTTAGTTTGGTAATATAAATAAAAAAAATAGTTTATTTAAAACTTCCTTATTCTTTTACAAGTTTTAATTGCACAAGACTATTTGAATCTATTGATGAAATGTAAGACATAAATGAAAAAAATGAAAACATATTGTATCCACAGGTTTTTACGATTGTATAACTACCTCTGGTGGGTTTGGACTAGGACACATTCCTGCTGATGCACTTCACGATCTGATTCGGTTGACTAAAAAAGGTATGATATTTATTCAGAAAAGTACCGAACCCGTCGCAGATTTGAAATAAAAAGGCAAATTGTTGATATAAAACGTAATAATGACAGTAAAGAAGTCCTTTAGTTTGATTACTTAGTAATTTTGAATAAAAAAAAGAAGGAGTGACTTGTCGAGAAGGGCCCATGTTTGCACTCATTAATCGGAAAACGAAAATTGCCTTGCTTATGCATTATGAATTGAAAATGTAAAATCAAGCGTATACAATAGTTTATGATTATTTAATCGTACAGATTCAGTGTTATCTGTAAACATGTTTTGCTTAATTTCAAATACTTCCAATAAAATCAGTTGTACAAAATCAAAAGGTGCCGGGACTTGATACAAAATGTATTAATTCCTATTTTTCAAACTTTGCATTATTTTTTTAAATTTGAATTTTTCTATTTATTAAATAATTATTCGTAAAAGAAAATTTTAATTAATATCTATCCTATGTTCTTTTGCCTTATAATGCGCCTGTGTTTAAAAGTTATCTAGCTGTGTTTTATAGTTACTGTCGGTGTGTTTAATAATTGTCTAGCTGTGTTTAATAGTTATCTACTTTAAAAAGCACTAAACTTTATACATAAAGGATATATATTGCTTGAAGTTGAATTCTAGCGAAGTGTAGGTCTTGCACGCCTACAGAGGGACAAATGTCAGTAAACTCTCTTAAAGTTCCAATCCGTAAGTTCACGTTTGTGTTAAATATTGATCATTTATAATCCCTTTCCAATACTTAAGCTCATAGTTTTCAAGTTTTCAAAGCTGTTGCTTAATGATTGTTCTGTATTTTTGTTATTTTACTTTATACGATTATACCCCTTGCAAACTAAAATTTGTACATGTTAAGTAGCTCTCGTATAGAAAGTATATATCATTTACTTACTTTGTTTTGTATCCATCATTAATTTGTCGTTACAGGTGGATATGTTATAATTGCAATGAGAGAGGAATACATTTATATGTCGTGTTATAATGACATTCTAGAACCACTGATGAAAAAATTAGAAAACGAACAGAAATGGCAAATGGTACAACGATCAATTATCCAAGAATACGCCTTCAACAAAACAGGAGTTTTATATATATTTGAAGTATCATAGTGTGAAGGAAATAACATGAGGAATAATTTATTGATTTATGGTATCCATAAGCCAAAAAACAAACCAAAACACTGAGAACTGAAGTAGTTTGCATTGTCTTTCAAATGTGCTGAAATGACTAGTTTTGTAAATATATGAAGTTAATATATGTCGTCACTTTATGTTTGTTTGTTTTTTACAATAAATTCAGTAATTTTTCAATGGTTTGAGCTCACACTGGTTTATATGGTGCAGGTATAATTATAGCGTGTATGTATCATCTTGATTTTGCAGTTAAAAAGAACCTTAGATACAGGAAAAGTCCATTTGAATGTTTCCTTGTTCATTTACATTGTCCGTGGTAAATAAAAATCGAATAATACCACCCTAAAATAAATAAATGAAAAAAAAACCAAACAAACAAAACAACAACAAAAATTTAAAAAAATTAAAAAAAAACCCCCGTAAAAACCCAAAAGCCTAAACAAATAAAACATAGCAAAAACAAACAAACATTTGAAAAACGAAAACCGAAATGGAAAACAACTGTAAAATATTATGTTATCTTCAATAAGTTTAGTCCTGTTATCAGTGTTTAACCTATTGGGGCCCTATGTAGAGAAAGGCAGAGGTTCCCTTACAGTGATTTAGGTATGCAGAAGATCGTTGTATTACTGAAGGTAGAAAACAAAAACAGAAGGAATCGTATGAACTTTAAAAGGAACGAGGCCGGCTGAGTCGAAATGGTCCGCATCTCTTGCTATGCGAATTTTGCACTCGGTCAACATGTCCCAATCGAGAAAAGACACACTTGATAAATTTAAGGATTAGATGACTTTACTGGTATCATACGATCTAAGAATTTTTTTATGACAATGTATGTTGATGCAACATGAAACCGCTACGAGAAAACGTTTGACATATTTGGATTGAGTTAAGAACAATGTCCCTCAATCGATTTTAGATATGTTTCACTTCTGGTCCTTTTCCAGTTGTATCTGTGTTTAAATTAGGTTTTAGATTTTCAAATATATATTGACCTCGATCATCACCGAGGAGAAATATTTATCGAAATGCGCATTCTATGCAGTATCATTATTACCGTTTAATGTTATAACTACCATTGGTTCGATAACTCTGATGCGATTATCCTATCTGGATTGTTAGTCCCCGCAGGTATCACTACTTAGTAGGTCAATAATTTAGTACTTGCATAAAATTATGGATACTGCTTTATTGAAACTTGCCGTAATAAAACTAATATACCTCCATTATGCGCAGATCTAATTCATTGTCCGGTAAGGTATAATTTTGATTGTTTTCAGCTCGTTAATGTTTGTATTAAGTTTTTGAATCTTAGACATTTGGGCTCAGGCCTCATCGAAGAGACATTAATCGTCGTAATGTACATCTGGTGTTATTAAGCAATAACATCTCATGGGAGTTTTAAATATGCAAAAAGGAATGCTGATTTATACCTGATTAGATTATTAGAAAGCAATGTGCACAATGTGCACAAATGAAATATCATTTTAAATATTAACAAAAGGAATATAAAAATGTTCCAAGTATAGTTGAGCCCTTGTCACTTTAAAACATTGGTTGTTCAAGTTCCTTGATCTTTTTTATTTTAAATATTACTGATATGTATGTCAAGGAACATTAACTCTACGCTACTATTATACATGATTAAATTGTTTTAATCATCAAATGTTATTAACCTCTACGACTTCGTTTTTGATTTGGCTAATAACTATTTAAATTCGAACGCCACTGATGAATCTTTTGTAGACAAAATGCAGGTCTGGCGTACAAAATTATAAGCCTGGTATCTGTGATGAGTTTTAATGCAGCAACGCATTTTTATTTGATTGAGATGACGATTTGTTTTAAAACGAAGTTTTTATGTAGGAAGTGCAAAACCTTGCATTTTGCCTGTTTATTAGCATTAGCCTTATATCGTTATTATGTCAATCCATTACGCTATAATTGGTTATCTGAAAACTTAAATATATGATATGTTCTGAATCGGATAATGACGAGAAGAAGATTCCAAGGGGCAATCAGAAACAAAAAGTCAAAGAACAACTGACATCATCATGCCTAAAAAAAACTACGAAAATACAAACCTAAAGCTACAAAATAATTTGTTACAGCTATATTTCGTTTACTCATCATCTCTACAATGGCGTGAAGTTTTGAAAAAACATTTAATTATTTGCCTACCAATCTTCCCATATACAAGAAGGTATTGTCAGACTTTGGGAACGCGTACCGTTTCGATTTAGCGTACATTTGGCTTCATGTAATGTATAAATATACAGACATGTCCGGTCAGATTGAGAGCATTGATACGATGGCTCGTGAAGAGAGAGTGCAACGCCAAGTGCACATTAGAAAACACTTGCCAAATTTAATAAAAGGTCCATTTGATGACATGCTTTCAGGCAAAATTCCTGCCGTATTCACGATTCTATCATTTTGAAGTGGCAGGCTAAACGTGTCGCCCTTCATCCCAGTCAAACCATTTAGCGGAATCTACCTATGGAATCAACCAACAATCAATTACACAGTATTTTGACTTGTGAAAAATGCAACTGAAATCAGCAAGCGTCAAACAAGAGAACATTTTGCTATCATGTCAAATTGAAAATTAGTATATTGGACAAAAGAGTAAGGAAACTTCGTTTAAAATGTCTAAAATCAAGACCAACTGAGTTTGTATGAAAAAAGTACAGTTTTTAATCGTCTACTGTCTGTTATATTTGTTTTTCTTTCATTCATTTGTCATAAATTAGGGCCAAACCAAATGATAGCCTATACCAACCAACGGAACGAATGGAAAACAACTGTCTTATTCATGACCTAGTACAGGGACTTTCCAAAGAAAGGTAAGTGTCTCCTGCTATGCCTGCATCACCCGCCATGCGAATTCTCACTCTGTCAAAATTTCATGATCGGGAAAAGGACATAAGGATAAATTACATACCAAACAAATTAACTGGTATTTAAAGATCTAAGACTGCGAAAACATGTCGCTAGTGAGTTGAGACAGCCATACATGACATCGGTCAACCAATTCGTGAAGGTGACCGTTAGATTTATGTAGCGTCGATTTCGGTCGCTCTTCCTCGTAACTCTGTTGGAGCAATTTTGTGTAAGAAGCACATCCCTGTTAATAAAATCCGTCTAATGTGCATTAAAATCAGGTCTTAGGATTTTAATTTGTTTTACATTTTGTCATGTTGGAGTTTTAAGGTGACTAAACAGTATTGGTTTTGCTCATTGTTGAAGGCCGTTCGGTGACCTATATATGCTTACATCCATGTCAATTAGACTAAAGTGGATCTTTTTTCATTTTCAGTTATACCACATCGACTTATCTTTTTATTGTCATTCATTAAAAATTCGAGAAAAATGTGCATATTAGTGATACTTGAAAAAACATATGATGTAGACAGAAATAAAAATGTTACGCTTATCGTTTATATAAAAAAAAATTCTATTGAGAAAGAAATCAGATTTTTTGACCATTTTGTATACCTTCTTCGATGTTGTTTTTATTTCATTGTGCGAGAGAAACCATGATTTGTATTTGTGAGCTTGACTAATTTGTCTTTAAGTAATTTGTTATAATCTGATTTTTTCCCCTATCATAGTATTCTTTTAGAATTTGCTGCTGTCCTTTGAGGGGACTTAATAAAACATGTAGATTTTTCCGTAAGTTTTATTTTTCAGCATTAAATAAATAAATTCAATAAAATGCTACTATAAAGTATGTAACAGTTGTTTGTCAGAAATGAATGTAGTCTTTGTCATATTTCCCCATCAGAGATTTATATTTCTCACTTTTGAATGTAAAAATGGTTTGCTCCAAACCTGTATCAAAACATGAAAGATTACTTAATGTATTCAACTTTCCATGCAAAGAATAACACAGTTCATCATATATCACTATAAGGCAGTGGTGATGTTTCGCCACCATATGTTTGCAGTAATGTTATTTCGCCTCCATACCTTAGTAGTAATATTGTTTCGCTACCATACCTAGGCAGTGATGTTGTTTGCAACCAAATCTAGGCAGTGCTACTGCAAGGTTAACAAGGCAATAATGACATTCAAACATTCGTGCACTTTTATCAGTGCAGCAGTAGAAGCTCTAGTTGTCTGTGTTTTGTATTAGCCTTTCATCACATATGTTTTAACCATTAAACAACGACCTCAAATGTCTTTGCCATAGAAACTATATTTTCTTTCAGATCTTCTTAAAAAATCAACATGGAAACCTTAAAAATAAATGACACATTATTTAAAGGAAGTCATTCTACAGAGGAATTCTTGAAATCTTAAATATAAAGTTAACGCTTTTGAACGTATGCTTATTAATAAAATTATAAATGGGGCTATCTGAAAATTATGTCAATGAATGACACACTAAAATCGGTATTTCGTAAATTCTAGGCATGAAAGGTCAAGGTGTCATAACGCCCCCGTGAATTCTAAAATTTTAAATCTGTCAAATGATATACTTCAAATGTTCATAAGACATCAGACTATCTTTATATTTTTTAATTTTGTCTTACATATTGGATTAGGGCCTTAAACTTCTGACATCTAGTGAAAACCTGAAAAACTGCGAAAATATCTTCATTTTGAGATCCTCTCATCAATCTTCAGATTTTAGCAACAGTTTGTTCCGAAAAGATAGTTTGCCACAATATGTATCTTACAAATATGCTTAGGTGTATAATGTATCTTTTTGGGTTAACCTGTTCTTCTAATTTGACCAAAAACTACATGTAAAATAGCAATTATGGGTCTCATGTCTCGACATGTTTATGACGTCACAGCGATATTTTAAACGACTTTTCTGCATAGAAATGTTAAGATTATATCAACCTGTTCATTTATGAAAATAAATCAATATAACATCGAAAGATTTAAATGATTTTACTTATGTTGTCATTTTAGAGGCCAAATTATGGCTCTTATCATAACTCCTCGTTTATGTTTAGACACATAGACAAGAGGGTCTGTTTTTCTTGGATGACATAGTTGTTTGTATTTATAATGATTAAGATAAAAACACAATGTTGACCTCTGTATCCCAGTTTTTGACATTTGTACCTATTATATCTGTTTGTTTTGCTCACACACTGTTGTCAATATAATGGAATTCTATGTGACCGTCATAAAATGTGCAGGTTAGCTAGCTATAAAACCAGGTTTGATCCACCCATTTCTACATAAGGAAATAACTGTACCAAGTCAGGAATATGACAATTGTTTTCCAATCGTTGGAAGTGTTTGAGCTTTTGATTATCCCATTTGATAAACGACTTTCTGTTTTGAATTTTCCTTGGAGTTCGGTATTTTTATTATTTTACCTTTTATAAATGCTCCGAAATTGAAAGTAACACGTAGAACACTGAGGAAAAATATTTACACAGTAATACTAACATTAATATAATTAAACACTCAGAATGATAGGCGAATGCCGACTGATATCAAAACAGCTGTCGTTTTGAAAATTTCATCACAATCTCAAAGTTTCAAATATGTGTAATGCTTTGATTTTTTGTATATGTATATTACTAGTATCAATATACTGAATACTAAACATTTAGAATAAGACCTAAATTTCATTACTGAAGAATCTTAATTTCGTCTGTAACAAGGTCTTTTACATGACAACAGATTTTATATCAATTAATTTTCCCAGTTACATGTGCATATTTCCTTACACTGCGTGATCAGCCATATATCTGTCTTCGTAAAAGGACATATTAAGTCCATATCGGTTGAAATGGAGGTTATCTCTCACATGAATTTATTTATGTATAGGATAGGCGTCGTTTTGGTTGGATAGTAGAAGGCTTACATTAAAATGTAGGGTTCTACAACTTAGATTTTGAACTTGTTTATCTGACCTGAATTGACACTGTTATATATATATATATATATATATATATATATATAGTCAACATCGTATGGCATTGCCTAATGATTTTCCATGTATGAATAATAAATGTTCAACAAATATATTGTGTTATTTCAGAAAACAACAAATTATGAATGATAGCGTAAAATATCAATAATAGCATTCAATAGCATTGCACCATTTATTATTGGCATAATGTCCTATTTAGAATTTTGATAAAAAAAAGTTATAACAAATAGTTTCCAAAATTAAATTTAAAAAAGATTAACTACTTGTTATTGATATTAAATTGTGTTTTTGCTATCATTCATTGCCATATCCGGTCTCTTACTTTCGGAATATTTCCGATTTTTGTATTAATCGCTACCATTTGTTGGAGCTTGTATCGAATAAATCCAAGGAGTTCCGAGTGCATCTTCTTGCACAACCTGTTCAGTTCGCATAAATGAGATAAAAAGGACTGTACACCTGTAAACCGTAGGTTTTATAGTCTCTCATAATCAGCTGACAATAACGTCACTAACATTGAAAGCGTATAGATAAAACAGGAAAACCCCTTTGGATTTAGAAGTGATCTATTTAGGTACACTGTTTGGTAAAACCTCTTAACAAAATTGCATTTAAATAATCATAAATACAACGAAAATTCAGCACGGGTTTTTATATCTTGATTATTAATAATACTCGATGAAGTAGATATTTTCACTGATGAGATGAAAATATAAGATCTATTGATTTCAATAACAATATATAAGATTTACCATTAGATGTAATACAAAAATACAAACACAAAAGTAATTACTAGTAATCGAACTAAATTATAAGGAACATTTAACTGAGAAAAAGGAAAATGCCATGTTTCAAGGCTAAGAACTGGGAAATATTAAACTAAGCTTGGGGTCGTGGGTCATTGCAACCGACAAGAATCAAAGATGGGACTAGGTCTAAAAGTATACTAAACTACCACGGTATCAAAACAATATACATAATTTAAAGTCCCAGTCTGAAGTTCATGTAACACTAACATATTTTGCAATATGATGAAATAAATCACTGTGTAATTAATCAATATTTACAGAGATTAGTATCGGTTAACAGCATGTCTATCCAGGCCACTTGTTTGTCACAACGGTCAATAGATATTAGTATTCAATCTAGTGCAAAATGATTGTAATGCAATCTTTTATACGACAAACAACTTGAATAAATGATCGTTTAATGTCAGCATACGAAAGGAGAAGTTATATCTGATCATTTATGTCTAACTTTGCAGAATTTAAAACAGGAATATCGAATAAAAAAAGATAGCGTGATTTTTAAACAATGAAATTATTAGTCTAATCATTATTATCGTTTCTCTATTTTCAAATGCCAAAATTGAAATGCAATGTCAACTTTTGCGAATAGTCGTAGACTAAAAGAGGGACGAAAGATACCAGAGGGACAGTCAAACTCATAAATGTCATGTTTTAAACAGTAAAAGCAACACACAAAATATATTTGGCTATTTTCAGCACTTATCAAGAGACAAAATGTTTAACGGACTGAACATAGTAGTAACACAAGTTGCTATATAAGTTTTTGAATCACATCGACACCCTACAATCCAAATATAAGTTGCAACAGCAGAGGATTGTAAAAAGACTCAAAAGGCAGAGGCGGTATATATCAATAAAAGTATAAAAAAATATACGCCAAATTTAAATATATTACAACAAATTCGAAACTATACTCTTAGTGGAGCATTTGTCCTTTAGTGTTATGAATCTTAACTCGTGGCTTCATAGTATTAAAACATTTGACTTTTCTATACTTTACACAAGTATTTCCCATTCCAAACTAAAATACATATTGAAAGAGTTGGTCCTGCTTTGTTTCATAAAAACAAATGGCCTCTGTGGATACAAGTTTCTTGTCTTAGGGAGGGATAAATCGTACTTTTAAAAAAATCAATCTGATTCAAACAAAAAAATTCTCATTATCAATATGCTTGATTTCTTAATTGACAACATATTTGTCACAAACAATCGGCATTTCCATGTGAACCAACTGCGCTCCTCTTCTTGCCGACTTGATCCTTTATTTATATGAGGCTGACATCATACAGGAACTTCTTAGGAAGAAAGAAAAGAAGTTAGCAGTATCCTTTAACCTGACTTCCCGCTATACAGATGATGTTATCTCAAAAATAATTCATTTGGTGATTTTGTTGAAGGCATCTATCCCACCGAACTTAATATGAAGGATACAACAGATACAGTTAAGTCGGCCTTATATATTGAATTACATCTAGAAATTGACAATGATGGTCGGTTGAAAACAAACCTTTACGACACAAGAGATGATTTCAGCTTTCCGATTGTGAACTTCCCATTTCTATGTAGCAACATTCCAGCAGCACCTGCATACTGAGTATATAACTCCCAGTTGATACGACATTCCCGGGCTTTTATTTCCTATCATGATTTCTTTGATAGAGGGTTGCTGCTCACAAGGAAGCTATTAAACCAAGAGTTCCAAGTGGTGAAGTTGAAATCGTCCCTTCGTAAATTTTACGGACGCCATCAAGAGTTGGTTGACCGTTATGGAATATCCGTTTCACAGATGACAACGGATATGTTCCAATACCGTCCCCTTTTCCTGGAATGTTACCTATCGAATTAGACTTATCACCGGGTTTGTACTAACATGAGCAACACGACGGGTGCCACATGTGAAACAGGATCTGCTTACCCTTCCGGATCACCTGAGATCACCCCCAGTTTTTGGTTGGATTCGTGTTGCTCAATCGTTTATTTTGTATACTCTTGTTTGTTTGTCTTTTTAATTTTACCCATGACGTTGTCAGTTTATTTTCGACTTGTGAGTTTGAATGTCCCTTTGTTATCCTACAACTGAATTGTATCCACTAAATCTAATTAATCAAATATAAATAGTGACCTTTTCATACCTTGATATAGGAATTTCGCATGAATATATCCATACCAAAATGTTTAATAAAAATTCATAATGCGACTAAGTCTATCTATGTCTGTGGTTTAATATAAACCAATGTACGCTCAAAACATTGAAACATTATCTCATTCATTAAAACTAAAAACAAAAGTAGAGTGACACTGACATATACTTATGACAAGTCATTTCAGCACATTTGCTTTGGGTAGGAAAAGTGTACTACTGAACTGGTGAAAGTATTGGGGACGAAATGTCTAGCAGTAAAGTCATCGATCAAGTGCGTGTACAAACATATCAAAGATGCCAGGCTTATAATTTGGTAAGCCTGACACGCATTAAACTGGACGAATTTACCAGTCCGTGATGGTGATATTCTGTTGGCTCCTTGCTTTATCTTGTTTCATTTTCGTGTGAACAAACAACGGCAGGATACCAAAGGAATTATGTCGACAGTATTTCAAGCAACTGTAAATGTGCCGAGTACTTGTAATCTTATTTCTTTACTTTATATTGCTTTTTTTTTTTTTTTTGAATCGAGCGTCACTGATGAGTCTTTTGTACGAAACGCGCTGTATTTTGAATTTTGAATGTTTGATTTTGAATTCTTAATTCTTAAATATGAATGATTTTTCTCGGTTATCGTAGAATACGTCGACATGTCGTGTTAAAATGACATCCTAGAAAATATGAAAATATGAAGAAAATATATATCATTTTTACTTTATTTTTGTTTTCATCTTTAATAAATCCAGTAATGTTTAAATTGTTTAAAAGGTACAATGGTTTATAACAGGCAATGACGCAGCTAAAACAATTGCGTGTATGAAATATTCTGACAGTTCTGTTTAGCCTAATCCCCTATTTTTTATTTTATTTTTATTTCAGTCAAAGTAATTGGATAAACAGTTTTATATGTCCGTAGTATAGATTAAACTTACTTGGTTTTCCTTTGTTTAATTGTTATCCCATGAAAAATTAGCTTGAATTGTCTCAAAATGGACAAATTTCAATATTGTATTAGTGAATATTGTGTACTTAACATGGTTATTAGTAGAATTTGTGGTGTACGGGAGGCAACTCTGGATAAACATTTTAATGAAAAGCATAGGTTTCATAAACAAAATTATGAAAAAAACTGTCGCTCGGAAGAGAAAATATAAAAACAATTTCATGTTTTCACATGATTTATACTGACAACTTAAGCTATGTTTAGGAAAGTAACCATGTATGTTCAAACAAGGAATTTGTTTTTTAATATCTCAGATAAATGCGTGCTAACTGAAAGACGAGTTTTTAATGACAAAGCATAACTCGGTGGTTTCTACTTATACATTATTATTTAACTTCGATTTATATGCAATTCTTGTCACAATTATATGTCTATAGTAACACAAGTGATTTATTAAATAGTGCTGATAAATCATGGCAATACAAAATATTCTAAAATATAGATATTTATTTCCCTTTTCAAAAACAAAAATTGATCCTGAAAGATCTAATAATTCAACGTTTAAATTAAAAACTTTTTTAAAAATGTTTCCTTTCTTTTTTGGATATTTTGTCGTCCATGGATGACATGAACTGATATGTTAAACTCTAGTGACAAACAATAAAGAAAAAATACCGGGGAAATTTGTTTTTTTAATTTCATGTAAAAACAGAGAAACCGTATAGCCTTATCCCTGCAATTTTTTTTCTTTACCTTTACAAAAAAGTCTTTCTATTAAAGATTCTTAGTAATCCAGTGCATCATATGTCTAAGCTTCAGAATAAATATAGTGCTTTTCCTTTTATCAAGAAGAGGGAGGGTATTATTAATACTGATGTCGAGAGACGTTTGTATTGTGTCTTGGATTTTAAAATATTTGGCATCGAAAATCACTGAGGATACTTTTATTGTCAATATGCACATCTGGTGCATGGAAAACGGTACTCTTTTATATTATTTCGTCCACGAGGTCGTTACCTTGTGGACTGTTAATCCCTGTCGATGTTACCACCCTAGTGGATCAATACTTCAGTAAAAGAATGAAAATACGGATAATGATTTTAATTAAAATTTGCACCCTATTGGAACCAAATGTGCGCCTCCCATTGTCGACCATTTCTTATTTTCGCATGAGTCGATTATTTCAGACACTTATAAAAATAAGAACATGAAAGAAGCTTGATTATTTAATTTCACATACAGATGTAATTATGATTCTCTTTCCGTTAACAATTCAAACTTTTATGATTGGGTCCAACAAATATATTCTCAAAAACTAAGCCCCCCTCCCCCTTCCACCCGGCCTGAATTTAAGACATATTACTCGAACTGGACTACAGTGGTCATCTCAGTACCAGAATCTATGGCAAATGACAAATTTTCTACACCCGAGTAGCAATTTACCAATTTCCCCGCTTATAGAGTATACATTTTTCAAATCATACGACATTTTTAAGAGGTTGCAGATGGTACTCAGACGTCGAAAATGTCATCGGTGTCCAAGCAAAAA